GCCTGAGGAGAGTTTTACGTATCTCGGTGGTTGTGTTAGCTCTGAGTGTCTGGCGAAGTCAGTGAAAAACATCGATGGCGCTAATCACGTTCACCAACTTGCGTAACTTGTGCATTAAAAAAGCATATAACAAGCTACAGTAAGGACTGTTTGTTCCATGATTGCAAGAAAACGTCTTTGAGAATAGATGTGAGGCACCTTCAGGATTTTGGCCACCTGTACCTCGAAGCGTTGCTCGCACTTAATGCATGTGAAGCATCAGTGGCAACACTGATGTTGCTGTCTTTGATGATGATGAACTCGTAACGCGGGAACCATATAACACCATCAATTGAGACGGCTGGGCCGATTACCAAAGATGGCGGATCATCGTCTACTTAGACGAACAGTTATTCGTGCCTCCTTCAGAATGGTGCAGACTTGAAGATGTCAACGTGTTACTTTGTAGAAGGATGTGGAAGGGAACACAAGTTTAGGTGTTGTTAGTGTAGTCCACCTTCCAGGATGCAGTCCCATGATAGCCCCCTGGGAGCTTGGTTCTAGACTTTGCAATACACGGTGGTTGACCGATGTCAGCGGGGTCAATAGTATCACCTCCTTTCAAGACAGTCTGATTAAGCGTTTGAATAGTCAAGCACCCTGAAATGCTTGAGATGAGCTAGCAGCAGGTTGTGCTTTGCTCCATGACTGAAGGCGTCTTACTGGACTATCTTCCAGTAAACAGTTATATTTGCGCTGTTACGTTGATAGGTTCAATCAAGACCAAGAGATCTTGACGTGGCAAATAGGGCTTTCTTGTTGTCAGTAAACCCTCTGACAGACGGCAGCGCTGAGGCTGAGAAAGTCAGCTTCTATTAGGAATTGTCAGTTACCTCGATCAGCAAGAATACATATATCGTGATTCTCACAGGTGATATGAATATCCAGGCCGGCCGGCTAAGTCCGGAGGAAGTCCATCAGAGTGAAACGTTTGTTGCAGTGATAATGGGAAAGAATTCATCAGTTTTTGCTGTTGTTTATCTCTGGGCAGCACAAACTTTCAGCAGAATCGCCCACATCATGTGACCTGGAGGCCACCAAATGCAAAAACCGTGGACTCATTTGAACCATGACATTCAGTTAACGGTGAAGAGCTTCGATACAAGATTGTCATTCATTTGTGACTGCACCACTGGATTCTGATCATGGCACTGGGAGGGCATGCTTCCTTCCTGGAACACATCGGGCAATGCAATGCCATTCCGTCCACCACCTGCAGACCGTCTCTGCAGCATCATCATCGACAGCATGACATCAGTTTAACACCGATGCTTAACTGCCATGCAAATAAACATTACAGAGTGGAGAAGCGCCCAGAGCCCGACGGGAACAATGATGATTCGGATGATGATTGGAAAAGACCATGCTCGAGGTCTTCGACAGTCTACCAGAAGTCGCTCGCATCATCGGGGGTGATGCCTTCTAGAGTCAAGCTTAGTTTTACCCTGGCCGGAGTTGTATCGGTCATAAAATCATTCAGCTGTAACACTTCCGATGCCTAGCTGCCATGCCACCCGAAGGAGCACGAGGGCTGGTATGCTGCCAGGTTGCCCACGCCTAACAGGAGCAGTCGAGATGCTGAGTTTGGGCTCGAACCACGGACCTTCAGGTACGCGCTCTAACCACTAGAGCCATCTCAATCACATTTTAACTGCAACATGTGCCGAAACTGTGCCACTCCTTCCGACGAAGAATGATCGTCCCTCTGAAACACTCGCCTCGTTCCGTGGACGACTACGTGTCTACGACAAGTTCTCTCCTGAGTTCACCACATCCAATAGTTTCAGGCAGGGATATTCTCTGTGGCATTTTCTTGTTATCTCCTTGGACGATATTGTAGTGGAATCTTCTTTACCTGTCTCGGTGGTATGCAGATGGTATTATTCTTCTGGGATCCCACTCTTTCGAAATGGAAACTATTTTACATCAGTAATTAATTCAGCTGCACAGTTCGGTATGCACTGTGCACCTGTGAAGCTCTGCTGAAAGATTGGGTGTAATAAAAACCCAGACCTCATGCTCGCAAGTGAACTGATCGATATAGTAAATAAGTTTGTTTCCTGAGCAGCTGCATAAGTCCCGGCGTTCTGCCGAATGATGGAATCACGTTCCGAATCGGGAATGCCAGGGAAGCGTTTGCTGACCTCCGACATTTGCGGCACCGACATGACATCAGCTTGACTCCCAATGGTAGTGTACAATGCCACTATCCGATCTGTACTACTTTATGGGTAGATGCGTGTGGAAGGTCTCCGGAGACTGTTTGACCATCAGTGCCTCCGAAGCATTGCGCGGGTCTGGTGGGGACATCAAACCTGAGGTGCGGCAGATGGTCCAATTCTCCTCGATAAGCTAGCTGATCACACTCCACAGGTTACGCTGGTTAGACCACGTACTTCGTATGCCGGAATACCGTTTACCTAGCAAAGCCCTCTTTACCCAGCTTTGAGTCGGATGGAGACCACCCAGGGACAGCCAGCGCATGACTTGGTGAGGAAGCATGAATACCATTGCCGGTCAACTGAGTCGATTTGGCAACTGCTGTCACCTTGGATGGGGACCACGGGTCGGGACAATCTAATAATAAATGACTGAAAAATAGGGCCGTCATCCAGAAAATGGCGGTCATGCATCAAAACCACCGCCCTCGCCACGTAATTTCTACTTGCTGTCATACGGGATAAAGAGATCTATTTGTTGCCAATGCACAGGGCGATATGGCTTAGTGGTCAGGGCGCGAATTCACTGACCAGAAGGTCCGTGGTCTGAACCCCACATCTGCATCTCGACTTCCTCTGCCTAGGCTAGGGCAACCTGGAAGTATCTCAGACCTCGTGCTTCATTCGGGTAGCATGACAACTAGGTATCGAAAGGGTGTTACAGCTGAACAATTATTGGACCACTATTAATGCACAGATTCGGTCAAAGAAAGCAATGCATTGTTCTTATTTTCTGCTTTTCTTTATCCTCCGTGAACAAAGCTATGGCAGCTGGATCCATGCATTTCGATGCACGATTTCTGAGCTAAAAAAGGAATGAAACAACTACTCCTAAGGTTGCTGAGGACTTTTTGACATCCCAATACCGGTTTCGCTCTTATTGGGTTTCATCAGGCATGCATTGCCGCCGAGTTTCTATCAACCTTGTATTCTAATTGAACCCGAATAGCACGAAATTCGACAAGTATACTCGTTCCCATATAAATTTGGCTTTCACGGGAGACTCACCTGAACCTCCCATTTATGATGTACTGCGAAATCATGAACACCGTACCAACTCAAATATGAGGTGCCCTTTATGCAGCACCTTTAGTCGAATATCATAAGCAGGAGGTTTAAATGTCTCCGTGAAAGCCAAACTGATACTCTAATGAGTGTATTTGTTGAACTGGCGTTCTGAAAGCGAAAGGCTGAATCTAACAAATCTCCATGTGCCGTGTTCCCGACGATGACACAACTACCAACAGACAACCGTTACCTGCTTCGTCGACTTCCGGCTGGTGTTCAATCAAGAGGACCGAGGAGCTCCAGTCTAACAGAACCGGACGCATCCCTATGAAATTAACCAGGCGGTTAAGGGCTCAATGCGCCACTGCGGCGTCATGTGTGGTGAAGAATAGTCAAACTTCACTTTATCGTCCGAGGATCGACAGGGCCGTTCGATGTCCCATATACTGTCAAGTTTCGTGGTTGCCTAGAAAACGTGTTAATCAGCCGGTGGACGCAACAGAAAGGAGATTCGATAACAGATGTGGATCAGGGGTCGTAAATTCACCGATGACATCATCAATTCGTATCACCAGTCCTACAGCGGGACCTTAATAGAATCTCGCAGTACATATATCCTGTCGGCTTATGGGTAAACATTAGCAGTAGTCAAATGTTGGACCAGTCAAAAGTGAAGTGGCGTCGAGGAATACTTGGAACCTCAAACATGCGGGTATAACAAGCCTCCCGTACGGCCAGAGATACACCGGTTCCAGCTGCTAGTTTCGATCATCGGAAAGCGAGAGATGCAGCCAAGCACTAGAGGCGATCGCATGTTCAGTTAGTTCGGAAATCGAGTAGATGAGCATTGAAGGCAAAGGCCTTGATGAAAAAGCACCACTGGCTGCCATGTCTGCTAGTGTCATTAATCTTTGTTGACTTGAGTCCCGGGGTTCCCATCCTGTGAGGCGGCAGTTGTCGGCCCGACTGAGTTTACTGGTCTTCTGAGTTTTTATACACCAAACCTCAGTATATCAAATTCGGTGTTCCCACCAATTCCGACCAATGATTTGGAGACACCGATGACGGTTTTCCCACATCCTCTGTTTGCAGAAGCCACGTTTTTGGTCCATAAAATAATAGCATGGATCGCATTCCCACAGTGTATACTCTGCCCTTGACAAACTGATGTCACGTCGGCGCCATAGGTGTAGGGTGGGGGGCGAAAGCTGTCCTGGCACTTCAGCCAGGCCGTCGTGAATCATACAACTTCGCAAGTAAACAACTCTATCTAACATGTTGATTAGCTCGTCTGCAGGCATTAGGTTCAGGTTTGATCTCACCCAGTCTTGTAGCAGCACTTTACAGGTTTTAAGTGCTTACCAAATTGTGCTGTAGGATTATCTAGGTCATTCGGAATACCGGACAGTCATATCGTCCATATACTCAAATCCTGAGGGAACGCCCCGAGTGCATTTCGACTCCCATTTTTCGACGACAAGCACTGTATACAGTGGATGTATTTATTCAATGGCACTAGAAACTTCGGGAGGATAGATGAAAAGCTCATGAGCGTAACCTCTTGAACAACTGTATTCGTTTTCTAAATGATCTTTAGCATCAATGTTGTGATACCTGAAGCTTTTAAGTAGGTGATGAGATGGAGGTTAGACATACTCGCATCAGTCGTTGTGGGGGCAATACTGAGAAAAAGTGACGGCCAAGTGGAACGCAAAGCCTACAGGTGTAACTTACTTCCGAAACACCAGGATGCGATTCATGTAGGTGTTCGAGGAGCATATTCTTAGCTGAAGTGATCCAGCCGCAGACGGAACAGTGATGTAGTGAACAGGTAACAGAGAGCGACCGCAAGTTCTTTGTCTGCGATGGTAGTGGAAGACAAGATCCCAAATGTTCCGCAAAGTTTTCCAGGTTGTGTGTACCAAACGAACACTGGGGGCAAAATAAACTGCAGTTTCCAGTCGTACGTGGACTGGATTCCGATGTGTTCTGGGTTTGAGGTCGGGGACAATCCGACGGACAGAGCTCACTCGATAACGAACAAGAGAACTGAAAGATACGTATGAAGGTCTACCATAAACTTACCATTCGCGTGAGCACAATGCCGGCTGAACCACTTCCATGACGTAGGGAACAGTGTTTCAAAACCAAATCTCGGTGCGTAGATTTTACTAGACATTTGGGGTAGTTGCAGTGATAAAGAGGTATAAAATATTTATTCAAATGAGCTGATAATTCTGTAGGAGTTCCTGTGGCTGCATTACAATGCCCGCATTTGTAAAACACAAGCGCAGGGTTGACGTGATGACCGTAGACCGCGTGTTGAGCAAATGATCTTAGTGTACCATAAGCCCTCGGGCATAGTGGGCACGGATAAGGTTCCTGGTCTGATAAACTGAAATGCCGATCAATATGCTTGTTGATTGCTGTAACCGAGACTAGCCGTGCGCAATAAACACAGGTGATTTGTGTGCTGTTTGGATGCTTCGCAACGCAATGCACCTCGAGGGAAGGCTCTTCTGTTGGCGTTTCCGGTTTTGCACACAGCGTACACACATATCTAGTCGGGGACTTCTCCAGAATGTGAATAGCCGTCTCTGAATCACGACCACCCATTGCGACTAGAGGCCGGCGAAAACACGTTCCGCATCAGATCAAAACACGCGCACTAATGTACGACGCCTTTTGTGGTGGGTAAGTTCAATAGGTTCAAGGGGCTCGTGGAAGGTCGCAGCCTCCGGCAGCTGAGTTGGGGTTTCTGACCTAAGTTTCGCTTTGGACTGAGAGCTGCAGTGAAATAAATGAAGAAGATTTAGCATCTTGAGTTGTGAACGGGGCAATTGCTGGGTCATGACCATACGTACGAGGTGTGCGAATCTGGTCCCATGGATAAAAGGGATTCACGGATTGATACACAGGATCGAGGCTTTTACCCAAGTTTCCCGGATCGATTTTGTTCTTGCCGTTCAGCAGCTGTCATCCACCTGAAAGGCACAAGTGAAAAAGGGTGTTCTCAGCGCGGGACAGTAAACTTGCCACCGCGAGGACTCGCTGTGAACTGGGTTCTAGGAGCGTGGACAGCCGTCGGAGGAAGGTTATTCCACGCACCTACTACCCGAAATGGTAACAAATTTTTCCTAGTGAATGTGTGCTCTGTGTTGAAAGGCTTCTTACTATGTCCCCGCCATGTGTTTGCTGGGTAAACGGTGAAAAACCTGTTTGCCAAGCTTTGTTCAAACAGGTCATAAGTAAAAATGAGGTCCTCTCGGAGGCTACGGTACTCCAGGGGAAAATGGTCAAACGCCGCCAGACGCGTTTTGTAGTCCACGGATATGAGACCGGCCACTATTTTCGTAGCGGCTCGCTGGGCATGCTCAACGAGGGTGACGAAATTCGAGCGTCCTGAATGGACAACTTGGTTGGTACATTCATGGAGCGGTCTGACGTAGACCCCATAGAGTATTTGGAAGTCCGTCCGAGCAATACGGGAGAAGATGCGTCGGATCATCCGTAACATGGCGAATGCCTTTTGGGCCGCTTTCTCATAGTGCAGTGTGAAGGACAAGTTTTAGGAGGCCCAGGTACGCAAATCTTTTTGGCACCTATCCTCACGAAGTTTTCTGGTCTTTTCTCACCATAAATGATAAAGGCACTCGCTGAGTCTCCTCCAAATGACATATGGACGCACTTTTCTTCCTTCAAAGGAAGGTGTCAGCCCAACGATTACTGCTTTGCAGCGTTTACATCCACTCGGAGGGCACTAGCGTTGGAACTCCAGAATTTCATGTCGTCCGCAAAAAGTAGACGTGTACTCGCAAGAACATCTAAAAGGTCGCTGACGTAGATCAGAAACAGCAGCGGTTCCAGAATGGCGCCTTGAGGAACTCCAATGGAGACCGGCGCTGCAGAAGGGTAGGTCGAGCCTATTCTCACTCGGAATGATCTTTCTGATAGGGACACCTTGATCCAGCGAAGGATTTTCCCTTGAATCCCGTAGGGGAATGAGGATATGAGTCCTTCGACCTTGGCTTGGGTTGAGCTGCCCATGAACACAAGCATGTTTGTCACGCAAGGACGGTTCGGGAGAAATCTGTGTTGAGCTGGACATATCAAGTTGTGGGAAGTAAGGTGAACCAGGATAGCTCGCTTCAGAATGCGTTCCATCATCTGGCACGGAACGCCAGTAAGACTTATAGGTCTGTAGCTACCAGGCGATAGGGTCACCAGTTTTGTAGATTGGCGTGACAATCGCTTCCTTCCAAGATGAGAGAAGGCGGCCTTCGTCAAACGACTCACGAGGCTCCAGGTATCAATGATTTGCCAGTGTAGACGACGTTTCCTTCAGGATCCCTGAATGGACTTCTTCGGTCCCCAACGCGCGGGATGAATTGATTTTATTCACGAGTTGACGCATGTCCTCCATGGTGAAGACCAAATCCGCTAGAGGTTGTTCATATTGGATTGGATGTGACGGGTCTCTGGGATCGAATACGGACCTGTACAGTCTTCTCTGTACACCTCAGATAACACTGTTGCGTCACTCATGGGTTCCTAATTTTCAGTCTCGAAAACGCGGCGCGGATGGCTTTTTTCTTCGGCGATGTCTCCTGCTTTTCCCGGCGAGGTCCAGAATGGTGACTTGTTTTCGTATGTCCGATTGGCGGATTTCTGATTTAAAGTGGTTCCGCATTTCACGAAACGTCAGCACATCTTCTGTATCTTCTGTAGTCAACTATTTGAAAAACGTTGAGACCTGTTTTCCAGAAGACACCAAATCCCTTTAGACAGCCTGCAACTCATCCGACTTCGTTCTGTTTTTTTTGAACGAACGTTGCGTCAGCCTCGTGAGCCTTCTGGACAATGGTCCTATACATATCTTTCGCTAAAGCTGGTCTCATTTTAAGTCTTTCAAGAGAGACGCGCATTCCTGAGAAGTCTGCAACGCAGAAGTCTCGAAACCGCGTTCGAAGTTCGGTATTTCCGGCCTATAACAGGTGAAATCAAAACTTAGCACACAGTGGTCGCTATGTCCCAGTGGAGCGTTAATTGTTACCAGATCGACGAAGCGTTTTTCGTTAGTGATGACCAAAACCAAGAGTGATGCTAGTTGGCCAGCGTGGTATCTGGTGTGTGCAACGACATTTTGAGTCCAAGCGATCTGTTGAACGACTTCAATCAGCGCCGCTTGATCCGACGCGTTGGACCTCCATCCAGGAGGTCCCTGGAGCGTTGAAGTCACCTACCAGCTGGAAATGAATGAAGTGTTAGATGGAGGAGAGCTGCTCAAGGGTTCGGATGAGGAACTGCTTATCTTCAGAGGGACTCGAGAGCTTTATGCGCGCTCGTTCTCCGCATCTGGTTGCTACCATTTGTTTGTCAACCGTTGATTGCCCGGTCATGTTGGGCCAAAATTACGCACCACGCTCAGTGGTCGAATGGTTGCTTCCTGATTTAATGCTGACGTCTTTTATGGAATAGGTTCAACAGGGTCAATAAGTTAGCAGATTGATTTGAAACTCAAGCCTATTTGAACGTTTCTTGCGATTTTTATTCTTGTAGCAGGTTTGGGTTGTATTTCTCAAGTAGAAGGTATTAGAGAGTGGCATCATCATGAGTGTGGGTACGGGGTTGGTGTGTACCTGAACTTGTAAGATCGATTGTAAACAATTTTGGTTCGTGTTGAAGTCTAGTGGTAAGGTAAGCATGCAATGTTATGGACGAGCTGGTTGACATCACGCTTAAAAGTAATGGGGTAGAGGGCGCGATTGGTCTCATCCGCAAGTTTGTTTCGAATTCGAACAGGTCGAAAGGTTAACTAATGTTGGGATGGATTAGGAACGCATTTAGTTATTAAAGCTGTCAAGCGTAGCGGAAAAGAGTTACGGGCCCCAGGATCAATTATGTTGTGTTTATTATGTTGTGATTTATTCACAGGAGTCGTTCGAGCCGGGAGAATATTCTGAAAAGAGTTACGCGGTGCATACGTGAGCATATCATCGTAACGGTTTAGCCAAAAGCCATATGGCCCCACAGCACCCCATCAGAAATGGGCTGCAGCATGGTGATACTAAGCTAGTTCAGGCCTGGAGACGTTGAACAAAGCAGGTTGGCCAGACTACCCACGCTTTCCAGAAACTGGAGGACCATCTTACAAGGGTGAAGGTCACAGATAGCCCAAACTCAAGTATTTGTAGAATTATCACAGAGACGATGAGAAGATAAAAAAGAGGTATACGTTTCGCATGGGTGTTCGATAGGGTTACATGTGATTCATGGGGGAATTACCATTAGCTCAGGAGGCGCATACATCTGCGTCCGGCTGCAAAGCATGGAGACTGTTGCAACTTAGCATCATCATAAAGTACCGCGTTATAGTTGAACCGCAGAAAGCCACTAAGCTGGAAGGATTCTGTGCAAGGTTTCTTCCATGACAGACTATTGCTTTCACGACACTTTCCAGGCTGATTTTCGAAGAGACTCCGATGTAGCTTACGGGTTCACAAACTGACGCAGCAAATTGGGGCACTCGTTCAAGCCTCCCAAACCGGGGTGATTTTTTCTTTCCACAGCTTCCGTTCACGAGACAAGTGCAAACGGGAAACGGTGTAGCACGGCTGCTTAAGCTCAGACTGTGAGTCAGTGGGCCCGTCAGCACGATAACTCATAAAAAACGTCCGAACCGGTGCCAGATGCAGCGCAAAAAACCATCGGAGGAAGCTTATTCCGTGCACCAACTACTCAAAACGAAAACCTTGTCGGCTAAAAAGGTCGCATTCTGAGTTGAAAATCTTTTTATCATGCAACCAACGCGTATTATTGGGTGAACGGTGAATAAACTGCCGGCCGACCCCTGTTCAAACAAGTACCAGGTATCCTCGGAGGTGATGATTCTACGGTGGAAACTGGAGACGAGTTCCATGGCCACTAAATGTGAAGCCGGCAACCATTTTCGTGGCAAATCGTTGAGTATGCTCAATGGGTTTGACGTAGGCTCAATAGAGTATTTTGAAGTCCATACCAGTAA